CTGGGAGCTCCATCTTACTCAGCAGCATTAAGTCTTTCCAAGCTGGCCGCACCTTGATGGCAGGTTAACCCGTCAGCAGAGGCTTCATTGTGCAACAACACTGCTCGCAGCTCTGGCCACGGGGCTTGGGGCTGCCATCCAGGAATGGGGGTCACACTGACACCAGTAACAGCCTTTGACTCCTAATCACTAGCCGTAACATTACTGAATAACAAATGCTCGATTTTTCCCACTTGATGAAAATGGTTGTATTATTCAGTGACTCCTCTGGTTGCAACTTCAACTAGTTTGGCTGAAAGGGAGGGTGCATTAGCTCGTAGGAGCAGGAAGGCAAAGGGTGTCTTGGAAAAAGACCCCAACGGGGACTTCGGTGCTGCGAGCATTCTCCTCTGTGGCTATCATCTGCTTTGTTTAGGATTTTATTTTTGGCTTCATTTCCCAGGTTAGGTGATTTCATAAAATGGAACAATGGTTAGTACCAGCGTCTGGGCTCACAACTTTCCAACTTCTTAACAAGAGAGGAAAGGGAAACTTTCCCCATGGCTCTCACTTTAAAAAGAAACTCACAGGGAAGGACCCTAACTGGCTTGGGTTGGAACACTTTCCACCCCTGTACCAGTCACTGAGCGTAGAATGCTCATTCCTAGAGTCACATCATATGCACACTTTAACTTTCACAAATTCCACTATGAGCATAAAACAGGGAAAATCAGGGGGAAGACAATGGATATGCGTGGGTGATGCTGCCAGCCACTGGGTACACGGTGAGCACGGTGTGAGCCTGGAGATGTGACTCCGCCGTCCCCCAGCCATTCTCAGCTTCCAGAGCTTGCTTTGCCACGGCCTGAGAACCTGGAGAAGTGGTCCAAGGCATCACTTCATATAACACAGCCTCTAAATGCAAGCTAGCCACTGCGCCTGCCACTCAACCAAAACACAGCCATCTGTCTCAATATGGTAGGTGGGTGGGAAGTATCGGCATGGCCTTCATGAAGAAAGGTAGTTACACTCTTGTGGAAGTTTAAAGGATTTTCAAGGACCATTTTACCTGTATATGAACTTCTCCTCACAAGCTGACATTAAAATCTAACCCCTGCCTAGGATTACTCCGATTTCTATATTAACATGGGACCCTGGCTGGTGTGGCTCAGCAGACTGAGTGCCCGCCTGCGAACCAAAAGGTCACCAGTTGGATTCCCAGTCAGGGCACGTGCCTGGGTTACAGGCCAGGTCCCCAGTTGGGGGCGTGCTAAAGACAACCAATGGATGTATCTCTCACACATTGATGTTTCTTTCCCTCTTTTTCTCCCTCCTTTCTCCTCTCCCTAAAAATAAATAAATACAATATTTTTTAAAAATTAAAAAAATGGGTCTGGGGGCCATCTCTTACTCAGCCACAGACAACTCAGAAGCAGGGTGCTTTAGGAGGGGAGCGGCTTCCACTTGGACTTTATGCTGAGAGATTTTGATGGTGGGTTTCTGTCTAAAGGGAAGATTGTCTCCTAGGAGAACAGGGAGGAGCCAGAGGGAGGGGGGACAATTGGGAGGGAACAATTAAGGCACTGGGGGGAGGGGACAATTGAGAGTCAGCGCACTGGAGTGACTGCAGGGACCTGAGATGTGTCAGGTAAGGTTGGATTGTTTACGAACATCTTCCGCCACCTGGCCACCCTTGGAGTCCACTCCCCTCCTCTGCTCCTCCCTGGGGCTCACTTCCTGCCTTTGTAGTCCACGTTAGAGCCCGGCCGCTTGTTAGTGTGCAGTTTACATCCACTTCATCCCCACACTGTTGCTGCCACAGTGTTTGTGTATATCAGCATCTTCCTTCAACTCACAGGACATTTCAATTCAGCTGTAAACATGCTGAACTTGGAACCTCAGCTCTCCCCTCCACCTAGAACCAGGTCAGGATCCCCAGAGGACCCAGAGGAGCTGGGCTCTTTCCTCTTCACCAATCCTGGGACGGCATCCCTAGCCCAGGCTCTGCGCCGCCTCTTTTCCCAGCTGGTATATCCCCCGCAGTGTAGGGTGTGTGCTCCACAGCGTGGACATCCTAGTCCCGGGGGCCACCGCTCATCACCTTTATCCAGGTAAGGTTGCCAGGTGAAAAACTGAATATTTGTGACATATTTCTACCAAATACTCTATACATTGTTGATCCGAAATTCAAATCTCACTGGACACCCAGTGTTTTTATTGGCCGCATCTGGCAAGGCTTCTGTCAATATGCCTTCTGGCCGGCCTGGCCCAGCAGACAGCTGGACGCCCCTGAGCAGGTTGTAAGGTGCCTGGAACGCACTGTGAGCCATCACTGAGGCCCGCACTGACCGAAAGTGTCAGACGCTCATGCCCAATGTCCTCTGGATTTTATACTGCAAAAAGGAACATTTATATTTTTCTAATTATAAAATATATTTATGGCCAAAATTTGGAAAACACCATAAAATAGAAAGAAAAAAAATAAAAGTCACTTTTAATACTAGCACTTAGGTGTAATATACATTGGGAAAATTTCCTCTAAAGTTATATACATTTTATAAGTTTACTAAAATATAAAGTGCATGTGTATGCTTACAGACTTTTAACTTGTTCTATCACTTAAGAGCTTATCACAGGAATTTCCCCCTTGTCCTTAAATATTCCTCCAAGTAGATTTTAGACCCTCCTAGGGACCTGGAATACGGTGTGCAACAGGGCTCTAAATTAATTTCCCTCCCCATAGCATGTTTTCTGAGTGCCACGTTGTCACCCCTCCTTCGATGCTTCTCTGCCTTCCGGGCAGGCAAAGCGAAGGGGAGACAGACCACCGAGGAAGCTAAGTGACCCACGCAGTCCGCCACCATCACCACACCTGGAGAATGAGCTGTTTCCTAAGTCTGGGTTTTCTCCTAAAGAGTGAAAAAGAGATCAAAAAGAAGAGAGGAGGCAAGAACGTCTGCTTCCTTCACCTAGACAATAACCCCATCAAGGAGGCGAGAAAATGGGCCCTGAAGCCTGTTTAGTGGTCCTGCTGGTTTACAGACCGAGTCCACCCCTTTCTGCTTTTGAGGCTCCGCCCATTGAACAAAACACCTCCCAGATCCCTCCCCAAACCTCCAGAGGAGCTGGGGGGGGATGAGTGGGTCTGCTTGTAATTACTGCTTATTTGATTCGATTGTGGATTTTAACATCGTTAACAGGAGGAGGGGATAAATGGGAGTGGCGCCTGCAGCGCTGGGCTTCAGCCGGGCCTGGGCCCGGTGTGTTCCTGGCTCATCTCCCCCACGGCTGGCTGCGCCTCCTCCTTACCCAGCCTGTTTGCCCACACCTCCCCTGGGTGAACTCACGCAGCCAAAGTAGCACTGCCAGCGTGTTTCATTGTATATCCAAATATGTTTCTTTTGCTTCCATAAGCCTAAATGAAAACTTATTTTTGCTGTTGTTTTGTTGTTAGTGTTTTGGAAAAGGCGAGGTTTGTTGTTTCCCTAAATGCTTGCAGAAGCACTGCCCTCGTAGAAACTGTGTGTCACGGAGAAGGAATAAATCATTGGTGATTAAGAATACAATTCTGGGAACCGGGCACAGACCAGCAGCTGCCAGAGGGGTGGGGGGAGAGGGGGAATGGGGGAAAGAAGGGGAAGCGGTTAGTCAAACAACAGGTATGAATGACCACGGACATGGACAAGGGGGGGGTGGACTGTGGGAGCGGGGAGGGCCGGGCCAAGGAGGGCAAAGGGGGGCCAACTGGGCCACTGTAATAGCATAAACAAGGATGATAAGAAAGAAGAAAGAATGCAATATGTTGTGAGTTGAGGCTTATTTTTCCTATTTGCTGTCATTCTGAGGAGATTTGGGGTGGAGAAAATATAAACACACCGAGGATATGTTCCTCCGCGTGCGTGGCTCAGTCCACCGTGGAGAAATGGAAGTCCTCCGCGTCCTCTGGAGTCAGAAGAGAGCCAGGTGGGACCAGCCCCCCCAGGAGGAGGAGTTCGTTCCAGGCTCTAACCCCACACAGGCTAAACTCCGATTCCTGACGTTGGCCTAGACAGGACCATGTGGGCTTTCACAGCTCACCTGGCTGTCACTTTAGGGTTCTCCCGACAGCCAGATGCTTCTCAGACGGCTCTGTGGCTGGTGTGCAGAGAGGCCGCTTTCCCTGGTAGATGGATGTATCCAGCATCCATCATCGTTGAGACTCCTTTCCCAGGAACTCAGAATTTGATTTGTTTCGGGGATAACACCTGTCTGAAGCAGAGAATCTCACCACTTTATCTCTTTTCAGTCCTTTAATCCTAATGCCAGAGCTACAGTATTCATAAATCCATGACCAAGGAAATATCCTCTCCCCACTTGCCAATAACTTCCAAAACACACCCCGCCCCCTCAGAGCCCTTTCTAAGCCGAGCTCACCAATGCACTCTCCAAGGACGCATTACTTCTCACCTCGGTCAGGAACTTGTGGGTCTGGCTGATGACGAGGGAGAGACTTCCCTGTGCCTGATTCCCTGCGAGTGAAACTCGACCTAACAGCATCCCTCTCAGGGCCAAACGAAATAGTACACACGCACTTGCCTAAGAGCCCACTTATGCAAAAACCGCCAGTATGATCCCATAAAAATCTAATTTAAAAATTGTGCCTGCAAATTAAAACAGATAGGGAGTGTGTCTTCCTACCAGAGAACCGCTCACATTAGGTCAGCCCCACCCCTCCCCACCTCCCGAGGTCAGGACTGCAGGCTGTACAGGGTACGGGGTTTATGTTCGTGCGTAGATAAGCAGTTTTCTTCTCTTTCCCTCTGTGCCTGGGTCTCCAGATTTCATTATCAAGAGGCAGAGACCATCAGAGAACTTGGTCAGCAGCCAGGAACGTTTTTTTCTTCTTCTTGTCCTTTGTCAGGTCTTTGTTCCGCCCCTGGCTGCACTCTAACAGAACCACTTACTGGTGATTAAAAGGAGGGGGACCAGGCGGCGGGGCGGGGCCTGCCGGCGCGGGGCGCGGCGATTGGGTTCACCCTCGGGGGGCTGCGCGGTCTTCGGGCGTCGGCCGAGCGCGCGCGCCGAGCCTCGGACTGACCTGCCCCACCCGACGCCACGGAGACGTCAGTGACGAGCAGCAGCCCAGGCTTGGAAACGGACGGACGGACAGGCGGACGGCGTCCAGTGCGCGCGGCAGGAGGGAACAGACACCCGCAGCGCGGACAGGAGCCAGACCTGCAGCCTCCGGACGTCGGCGCCATGAACGACAGCGACAACGCCACTCTGCTCTTCATCCCGTCCTCTCTGCAGCCGGACAACTACACCCTGTCGCCCAACGCCAGCAGCCCGAGCCCCGGCCCGGACTTCTCCGGCGCTCCCACCCCCTCCCCCAGCGCCGGCCCCAGCCCCGGGCTCAGCCTCGGGCCAGGTCCCAGCGTCAGTTTCAGCCCCAGCCCCGCTCCGACTCCGGGGCCCACGACCAGCGGCTTCGCGGGCAGCCCGGGCCCTTCCCCGTTCCCTCGGCCCTGGGTTCCCCACGAGCCCCCCTTCTGGGACACGCCGCTGAACCACGGACTGAACGTGTTCGTGGGCGCAGCCCTGTGCATCACCATGCTGGGCCTGGGCTGCACCGTGGACGTGAACCACTTCGGGGCGCACGTCCGGCGGCCCGTGGGCGCGCTGCTGGCCGCGCTCTGCCAGTTCGGCTTCCTGCCCCTGCTGGCCTTCCTGCTGGCGCTGGTCTTCTCGCTGGACGAGGTGGCCGCCGTGGCGGTGCTCCTGTGCGGCTGCTGCCCCGGCGGCAATCTCTCCAACCTCATGTCCCTGCTGGTGGACGGCGACATGAACCTCAGGTACGGAGCTGTGTCCCTCAGGCATCTTTCTCATCCCAACGCGCCGCGTTTGCAGCAGAGGGTGCAGCAGATCGTGAAGATCAGGAGGATAGGAAGGAGAGAGGCGGCTAGAATGAGGCAGGGACGGGGAAGAAGCGAGGTGGAGGAAGATGTTGGCGCCCCGGCTCTAGAAGTCAAGGCAGAGCTGAACAGGTAGTGTTGCCTTGACTAGACTTGGAAGGAGCTGCTCTGAGGGTCCCGGGGACTCATCTGCAGCGCTCTCGCCACCCTCCCTGAGGGTCGGGCTGTCGGTGCAGGCCCCTGGGAGACCAGGAGAACTGGCCACTCGCCGGAAATGCACACAGAACAGGGCGATTGCTCCCAATAAAGAGCTACCTCATAATGAGGACAACGTGATTGAGTTGAATCCAACAAGTATTCAGCAGCTTTACCATGTCTAACAGGATATTTGGAAGGCTTAAAAAAGAAAAAAATGTTCCTTGCCCTCAAAATCATCCAGGCTTCATAGGTTTTACAAAGCCAGGGGCAGCGGCCCCCCCCCCCCGCCCCCTCTGCCTGAGGTTCGTGTTTCAGTTGGACTTGGACATGCAGCTCACTTGGCCTTCCCCCCAGATGAAGTAGGTTCTCCCCAGACCTCACGCTGGGGACTTGCCGTCGCCCCCGTTTTCCTCCACCCAGTGTGCAAGATGGAGGGTCACCGTGTGCCAGACAGGCCCTTTGGCTCAGGGCCCGTTCTGACTCCTGTTCCTCCCCTTTTCTGCAGCATCATCATGACCATCTCCTCCACGCTGTTGGCCCTGGTCTTGATGCCCCTGTGTGTGTGGATCTACAGCCGAGCTTGGATCAACACCCCTCTGGTGCAGCTGCTGCCCCTAGGGGCAATCACTCTGACTCTCTGCAGCACTCTCATCCCCATTGGGTTGGGCGTCTTCATCCGCTACAAATACAACCGGGTGGCTGACTACATTGTGAAGGTAATGTCACTCTTCTCTTTGCACACGTAACGGAACCCCGGCTGGAATGCTAGGAAGTTTGGGAGAAAGGGGTAAGGAAGAAAAGACGTTGGCAGCCCTTGCACGGATAAACTTAAAAAAAAAAGTTTATGCCACAAAGATAATTTTCACCTTCAAATTTCAAAAAAGCATAGTTTTAATCAAGACACAGATTTATTAGAAACAGCACAAGAGAACTCAGTACTCATATGAGGAAACAGATCATGTGGGAAATAGATGTCAGGGCATCAGATGGAAACATGTCTCATTAACAACAAGTGTATTACAAACAAGCAGGTGAAATAAGGTTACTTTAATCGAACTTGTATAGTATTTTAAAATGCATTACTCTGTTTTTCAACGGCGGAAGTCTGAATAATTCTGTAGACTGCTGCTTTCTAAAAATAAGTTGACACTAATAAGACCAAAAGTAATTTATTTTTTATTTTTTTTAAGATTTATTTATTTATTTATCTTTAGAGGGGAAGGGAAGGAGAGAGGGAGAGAAATATCAATGTATGGTCGCCTCTCATGTGTCCCCCGCTGGAAACTGGCCTGCAACCCAGGCATGTGCCCTGACTGGGAATTGAACCGCAATACTCTGGTTTGCAGGCCCATGCTCAATCCACTGAGCTACACCAGCCAGGGCAGACCAAAAGTAATTTAAAAATTACATCATGGCAATATAATAGAATGCACAAAATATAAACTTCAAAGCACAAAATAAAATTAGATTGTGAGTAAATAATGCAAGCTGTTACTAAATTTTTGTGTTCCTTTTCTCGCAATATTTCATATAGTTTAAAAAAATTTAGAGAGTGAGTAACAGAGGGAGAGAGAGAAACAGATTTGTTGTTCCACTTATTTTTTTTTAATTTTTTTCTAACTTTATTTATTTATTTTTTAGATTTTATTTATCTTATCTTTAGAAGGGAAGGGAAAGAGAGAGGGAGAGAAATATCAATGTGTGGTTGCTTCTCATGTGTCCCCTGCTGGGAACTGGCCCCTGCTGGGAACTGGCTTGCAACCGGCATGTGCCCTGACTGGGAATCAAACTGAGATCCTTTGGTTCTCAGGCCTGTGCTCAGTCCACTGAGCTACACCAGTCAGGGCTTCCACTTATTTTTTTTTTTTTTTAAGATTTTATTTGTTTATTTTTAAAGAGAAGGGAAGGGAGGGAGAAAGGGAAAGAAACATCAGTGTGTGGTGGCCTCTTGCACGCCCCCTACTGGGGACCTGGCCCACAACTCTGGCATGTGCCCTGACTGAGAATCCAACCTGTGACCCTTTGGTTCACTGGCCCGTGTTCAACCCACTGAACCACACCAGCCAGGGCTAACTTATTTTCTAAAGCAATATGAATATATAGAGGGGCTAACTTTTATTAATATGAAAATAGTTCTTTTCTGTACATATATCCAGCCTCAGGTAAAAGTAATTGTGTTCTATAATAAACATATATCTTCTGAGTGTAATAAATATATATGTACATGTAAATATACATGGATTTCATATATTATATTCTTTTTCTATTGTTGTTCAAGTACAGTTTTCTGCCGTTCTCCGCCCACCCCAGTCCAACCCCCAGCCCTCCCCATCTCCCTCTGGTTTCCTCCCGCCCCCACCCGTCATTGTCCATGTGTCCTTTATAATTGTTCCTGCATATATATTATACTTTTTTTTTTTAAAGATTTTATTTATTTATCTTTAGAGGGGAAGGGAAGGAGAGAGGGAGAGAAACATCAATGTGTGGTTGCCTCTCGTGAGTCCCCTGCTGGGAACTGGCCTGCAACCCAGGCATGTGCCCTGACTGGGAATTGAATCGCGATTGTGTGGTTCGCAGGCCCGCGCTCAATCCACTGAGCTACACCAGCCAGGGCTTAGGAGTGGAATTTTTATGTTTCTACCTGATATCTACACAGTCTGTCTTCTGAATGACTGAAATGTATCAGTCAAGATGACACACCATTTGATACAGTCAGTTGTTCTCTATTACAAGTCCATCTACTGTAATAATTCCCAAGCACCACTGGAGACTCGTGGGTGGGAGGTTTTCCAGGAGCAGGTGAAAAGGGGGGGATTGCAAAATTGCAATGGACACCTCGCCTGTTATGTTTACATGTTTCCCCCTTACTTAATCCAACAGTTAGTAATTGCTTTTGATATTGCTATCAATTCTCTGAAGTATAAAGTATTTTCAAAGTGAAAAATATCACACACTTGTTTTCATAAGTTTTGATAACCTGTTACCTCATGTGTTAAATGAGAGCTAATTTCTTATGAAAAACAGGGGTTCTGGTCCAGGAAAGTAGTGTCCATTCGTCCACTCTGCTCACCAGGCCATGTGTGGTGTATTGGGCTCAGTTCTAACTGCTGTGTTGTTAGGGGGCACATTCATGCATTCAGTGCACGCTCCAAACAGTCAAAACTCAAAAATAGCCCTGGCTGGTGCAGCTCAGTGGACTGAGCACGGGCCTGTGAACCACACAATCGCGATTCGATTCCCAGTCAGGGCACATGCCCGGGTTGCAGGCCAGTTCCCAGCAGGGGACTCACGAGAGGCAACCCTACATTGACATTTCTCTCCCTCTCTCCTTCCCTTCCCCTCTAAAGATAAATAAATAAAATCTTAAAAAAAAAAAAAAACAAACTTTAAAAAACCCCTCAAAAACAGACTTTTGGCTGAAAGCCTGGGGGCCGTCCAGGAGAAGAGGAGCCTTCCCCATATAACCGTTTTGTGACCTTTGTAGGCTGTTTTGCAGGAGGAGCCTCCAACCCGCCAGAGCTGTGCAGCGTGGTGCTGGAGGCCTCCTGGCCCTCAAGATCTCCATTTTGTGTGGGCGGTCAGAGTAGACGGGTCTCTTCCAAGAGCCTAGGATTTCCTTGCCTGAATTCCTTTCAGCTGCCTTCTGTATGATGGTTCGTTTATCCATTTTCTATCACTAGGTTTCCCTGTGGTCTCTGCTAGTGACGCTGGTGGTCCTTTTCATAATGACCGGCACTATGCTAGGACCTGAGCTATTGGCAAGTATTCCTGCAACTGTGTACATGATAGCGATTGTCATGCCTTTGGCAGGCTATGCTTCAGGCTACGGCTTGGCCACTCTCTTCCATCTCCCACCCAACTGCAAGAGGACTGTGTGCCTGGAGACAGGAAGCCAGAACGTGCAGCTCTGCACTGCCATCCTCAAACTGGCCTTTCCGCCTCGGCTCATAGGAAGCATGTACATGTTTCCCTTGCTCTATGCCCTTTTCCAGTCTGCAGAAGCAGGGATTTTTGTTTTATTATATAAGATGTATGGAAGTGAGATATTGCACAAGCGAGATCCTCTAGATGAAGATGAAGACACAGATATTTCTTATAAGAAACTAAAGGAAGAGGAAATGGCAGACACGTCCTATGGCACAGTGAAGGCAGATAACTTCATCATGATGGAAACCACTCAGACTTCTCTCTAAACCTGGAGACACGCAGGAGCGCGGTCCTGCTGCAGCATCACTTCCTATTTACAGTCTGTGTTTGTGTACATGGTTTACATAAAGGATAACAATTGGTTCATGTTATATACCTGTAACAGTTTCGGTCTTCCCACTGTAAGGTTGCCTGGGAGTGTCCACCAAGCGTTTTCACAAGTGACCGGTCAGTGTCGTGCAGTGACTCGCACCTGGGACTGCTGAAGCCTGAACAAGTCAAATGTGCTATTAGGTTTTAACCATGACCAATTTCTATGACTGTTTCAAATATGTAAACTCTTAGAAAACAGGGTCTTGGAGATGTAGAATTTTGGTGCACTATCTTATATTAGTAAAAAAAAAAGCTATATTTGTAAAGCATAATTGAGTTTAATGTAATCGTTGTAAAAAAAAGTGTGCTAGCTCGACTTACAAATACTTCACAATGTTGAAATTTGACCCGTATTTAGAAAAATCCCCAAACAGGTCAATTAAACTATATATACTGTTTTAAGTGTCAAACCTGTTTCAAATCAGAAAAAAATATATACATTAATGCATTTATTTGATCTAGTATATCTATTGGTGATAAACAGACAACATTTTTCAGGTAGACAAAAGTATTTTATTTCCAACTGGGGACGGACATGGTCTTCTGTAGCGATGTTAACTCACCGCAAATCAGTTTATCTTGTGGGTGATAGGATTGGAAAAATTTGTGGAATCCCGTTATCTGGAGGGATGATAGGATTGGGAAAATTTGTTGAATCCCTTTATCCTCCAGATAAAGGGATTGGGAAAATTTGTGGAACTACTCTCCACCCTGGAGAAGAACAGTTACCTGGAGGTCAGAGTGTGAGGTGGGGCGAGTCTGAGGGGGCGGGGGCACGTGCTCCGGTGACGAGACTGTCGGCCTGGCTATGGATGTCCCACAGTGCTTTCCCTGCACTTACTGAAAGGGCTCAGTGGGTGGGTAGACTTCTCGGAGCACCTCTGAGATAATTAAGTAACCTATAACCTGAGGTCATAGATAAGCCAACCAAAGCAGTTCCCCAAACCTTCCTATTTTTGCTCACTAGCCAGAGGCTCCCAGCCTCGCTTCAGCTTCCTGGGCGGTGCAGACACCTGGACCAATCAAGGTATGGGGACCACCTGGCTCAGCTACTCCAGGTGAGAGCTCTGTCTTGTTGGAACGCTCTTCGCCTTGGGCAAACGCACTTACGAATCACTTCGTGCATCGCAAAGAAAGCCTCTTTCCAGAACATCTAAGGGTATTTGTGCGGACCGCCGGGTGCGGAAAAGTCCCACACGGACCTGATCAGGGAGCAGCCGTCGCGGCGGGGACGCGGGAACACAGCCGCGGCAGGAAGGTGCGGCGGCGAGCCGGGCTCCGGGCCGCCCCCGCAAGGCCGCCTACTTAAGGCCGGGCGGCAGGCCGCACGACCGGGGCTGCGCTTATGGCTTCCCTGGGGGACGAGGTGCAGGACGGCTACATGTACCCAGCGTGCGCCGCCTACTCGTACCCGTACCCTTACCCGCCCGCCGCCAAGGGCAAGGGCCTGGCAGGCGGGGTCGGCTGGCGGCCCCGCGGCGGGGGCTACCCTGCCGCGGCTTCCTCCTCCTCCTCCTCGGCCGGGGCGGCCCCGCCGTCCTTCCCCGGCTACGGGCAGCTGATGGCCGCTGACTACTTCGACAACTTTCAGAGGGCGCAGCTCATGGCCCTCCTGTCGCAGGTGAGCCCCGGCCTGGCCCCGCGGCCCCGCAAGGTCGGCAGCCGGGACGCGGCGGTGCAGGTGAATCCGCGCCGCGACGCGTCGGTGCAGTGCTCGCTGGGGCGCCGCACGCTGCTGCGCAGGCCCCGCGACGCCGGGCCCCCCGCCAGCCCGGGCCCCGAGGGCGCGGCCGGCTGCGCCTCCTCCCCGCAGCCCGCCGGCGGGGCCCGGGAGCACGACAGCCCCCCGAGCGGCGGCCCGCGGCCCGTGCACTTCCCACGCACCGTCGCGCTGTACTCGCCCTTGGTCTCCCGCCGCCTCACCACCTTCTTGGACGGTGCCGAGGCCCCGGCGCGCGAGCAGAGGCCCGGGGCGCCGGACGCGGAGCGAGGGCCGCCACCCGCGAAGCCCCGAGACGCCCAGCCAGGAGAGGGGTCGGCGAGGAGTGAGCCCCAAGCGCCGCAGTCCCAGGAGGAGGAGGAGGCCGGGGCCGCGGCGCGGGCGAGCTGGGAGCCTCGGGAGACCCGGGCAGCCGAGGCCGCCCCGCGGAACGCGCCCAGGAGCCCGGAACAGCCGCCGCCGGCGCGGGGCGCCCAGGCCGCCGAGGGCGCGAGGTCGTCGCCGCGGAGCCCGGAGCCGGGCAAGGAGCGTCTGCGCTTCCAGGTGAGGCCTGGGGACTGGCGGGGGCGCAGGGGGGCTCTGGGGCGTGGGTCTCCTCCAGGTTCGGGTCCCTGCCCGCTCCGGGCCGTGGAGAGCGGAGGACGTCTGAGGGCAGCACAGCCATCCTCCCTCCGCCAACAGGAAAATCAGTTGTAGCCTGATTGTTTATGGCGATTGCAAAACAGCAGCGCCAAGTTTGGCGAGGGAAACGCCTTGTGACGTTCGTATTCCGAGCACATGTGCTGCCTAACCCTGGTCGTGGGCACGCGGTCCAGTGTTGACCGCGAACTCGGTGGTCTAGGGAGGGCACCCCGCTAGTCGGCAGGTGGACTTGTGGCAGGAGAATTGATTCCCAAGAATCCCACTCGGCTGTCCGAACTTAATGTGGCAAAAGCCCAACAGGCGCCCACCAGAGTTCGCTCACTCCTGATTGTTGCCTGGATTTCCAAGCTTCTACTGGAAGCGAGAGCTACTGTAGTGCCTCTCGGGGTCTTTCCTCTCTCCTGAAAGCACCCCAACTCAAACGCAGTGCTGCTGGTGCATGGGGCTGCTCGGAGGGCCAGTTCACGCCGGCTGAACCCCAACGGGCTGGAGTACCCAGCGGGCGGTGCGGTCCCGGGCGGCGGGGAGGCAGCAGCGGGCCGCGGGAGGCCGGAAGGAGGCCTCGGGTCTCTCCCACTGCGGTCCGGGCTCTGGGCGGGCGCGGGCGAGGGGAGGAGGAGTGAATCGAAAAGTGATGCATAAACTGTGTACGAACTTTCTTCGTTCTTCTGCACTTTAATTTGCTCACCTGTGAAAGTGCTGAGTGCTTTTCCGAGTTCCTTTCCATTCTGAAGGTCTAACGCCAGAAACGTGTTTACACCTAGTTTCTCACTGGGGCAGAAAGAAGCCTAAGAACACGGCCGTGCCACTTCAGTTCACGTCACCCGTGCACTGTGGCTCCTCGGCCGTGCAGATTCCTAGCTCCACTGTGTGGTGGCGATTTAACTAGCAGCACAGAGAATTTGCTTAATCGAGGGTGAACACCTTAAAGTAGTACTTCAGGACGCAGAGTGCTTGCTCCTTCAGCGTAACCACTCCCACATGTGTGTCGTTCTAAAGTCCGACTTTTTCCAACAGAAAAGGCTCCCTGAAGAATCTCGAGGTTTAGAGATCCCTAGATGTTTGGCTTTTTCCCTTGCCTGTTTGAGGGAAAACACCTCCCTGCTCAGTAATTTGCTTTAGAAACCAAGTTAATCTGGCATATAAACTTTTGGGGGCCCGCGGCATGCTTATCTGCTTAATTAAGCCATTCGCTCACCTAATCACTATGGACCCTCCTTCTTTCCTCCATGATCTGAAGGAAGTTGCTAGTTTTAAGTAGCACATAGATCCTCCTCAGCTTCTGAAATGGGTACAAATTCCGATGCCGTGTCGGTTACACTGTGGCATTCTCTCCTGCAGTTCTTGGAGCAGAAGTACGGCTACTATCACTGCAAGGACTGCAACATCCGATGGGAAAGCGCCTACGTGTGGTGCGTGCAGGGCACGAGCAAGGTGAGCACCTCGTGACTGACACCCTTTGATGAAAGTGTCAAAAAGGGTTTTCAAAAATTTTTTTAAAAATTTTATTTATCTTTAGAAGGGAAGGGAAGGAGAGAAACATCAGTGTGTGGTTGCTTCTCGTGCTTCCCCTGCTGGGGACTGGCTTGCCACCCAGGCATGTGCCCTGACGGGGAATCAAACCATGCGTGATCTTTTGGTTCGCAGGCCCAAAAAAGGTTTTGCTTTCAGTTTTTCCTCTCTTGTCACAGGTTTACTTTAAGCAGTTTTGCAGAACTTGTCAGAAGTCTTACAACCCTTACCGAGTGGAGGATATTACCTGTCAGGTAAGTTGAATGTTTGCATTTTTGTGCCTGGACTGGAAAGTGGTGGAGGTGTTTGGTGTGGTTTGTTGAATGTGTTTCCTAAAAGAGGTGCGGTTCCCACGGACCTCTAGGTTTTGACAGCTTTTTGACAGGAGTTTGGAAACAATACTTGACTGGGAAACAGGCCCTCGGTGGGGGGTTTCCTTCTGCCCTTGCAAATCTTGATCATGGTAATAACATTTTAGAGATCAGCACCTCACTTGAAATATGGAGGAATGTTTGCCTCACCTGCTGCTCAGTCTAGTGTAGGAGAAAGCAAGCCGAGAAGTAGGAGACTGTTCTACTAACATGAGGTGGTAAAAGTTGCCTGTTTTGCCCAAATGTTTTTTATGAAGCATATACCTAATTTAATTTATTTAGTATTAGCGTGGGGTTTTAAAGTTTAGTCTTGTCTGAGAGCTTGCAGAAGGAGAATAATTTGAAGTAAATCTAAGTTCTTGAGCTTTATAGGGTTAAGTGGTAACATTGCTTATTTGCTATTCATGAAGCACTGTGCTATGCTGAGAGGCTAAGGTAACCTAAGACGGAGGAGGTGACTGAACTTGCCAATTATCACACAGAATGGAGCCCCACTTGACAGTGGAGACAGCTTAATCAACGCACTTGACTCGGGCTGGATGTCGGAAACATTATCACCACAGGGTGGATCGGGGGAAACGAAGTGTGGGAAACTATTTCGACTCCAGAAATAGAACCTCCAGTAGGGGAGGTTCTAGAGTAGGATGCTTATCCACCCTTCTGTGGCCTCAGCGCGAGGCCATTGGCAGTAGGTTGGGATGGGGTGAGGGCCAAGGTCACTGGTGCCAGTCCTGACTCACAGCTTGCCACTAGCCACTAGCCTTAGACTAGCTTTCCTTGTTTTGCAATACATTTATTTAACTCCTGTTCCCTGTTTACTTGTTCTCCATCCTTCGAGCGCAGGAAAAGACTTCCTGTAAGAAAACAGTTTCAAAAGAAACAACTCCAGACTAAACCATGTGCAACATGGGCCTGCCACAAATGCTTAAACCCCCCGTGTTCGTGACTCTGTCATGGCTACCAGGGATGCACACAGCCAGACTAGCACAGGGCCTTGCTCAGAGTGCAGCCATATATTCAACAACTGTTTGAATGGACTGGAGAACGTGAAGTTCTAGGAAATTACCAAGGGGTTACCTTTTGAACGTGCTTCTTTCTCACTTTGATTTTTCAGAGTTGTAAACAGACTAGATGCTCCTGCTCAGTCAAACTCCGCCACATTGACCCTAAACGGCCCCATCGCCAAGACCTGTGCGGGAGATGCAAAGGCAAACGCCTGTCCTGCGACAGCAGTTTCAGCTTCAAATACATCATTTAAATGAGTGTAAAAGGCCGGTCCTGACCCGGTGCCAGTGGAGCAGACAAGGGAGCTTTTCTCAAGCCCCTTCTCCTTTCGGCCTCTTTCTTCTCCTGAAAGGCTGTTTTTGACAAAGCCTTTGAATAAAAGTATTGCAAAACAATTGCACAAAATCTTGTCTTTGTTTGAAAATAAAGGTTTAGGAAAGCTTGTCCTGTGCTAACAGTCTGGGCCTGTCACTTAAGATGAATGTCTGTTCACTGCATGTGGAGCAGCCAGACTCTGGTGTATTAGTTGCTTGAGGAAAATTCAGAGGGGCTCACAGGTGAGATGCACCGCTTACGTGGGTCTGTGGGGTTGGAGCTTATACACAAGATGTGAACTGAACAAAGAGAAGCCAACTCACCGTGAAAATAAGCATGCTTCTGAAGGAGGTGGAGGCAGAGCCGTCCTTGGTATGTGGGACAGCTGGGGGTAACCCCAAGGGGCGGGCTGGCCGGCCGTGGGTGGGGGATTCAGTGCATCCTGGTGACCTCAGTCTAGTAGGTGACAAACTCCTGGGCCGAGGTGTGGGGTGAGGAGGAAGGCTGTGAACAGAACTGAGTTGTCCTTAATCACAATTTCACAGCTGGGGCTTGGGTGGGGTTGCTAAGGGAGGGTTCTTTAAGATGTTAGATAACTTTGTTAAATGGACTTGGAGGTGGGAGCTCTCTAAAAATAGGGTGCCTAAGG